TTCTGTTGAACTGGTCAAGATTACGTCTGTGTGCTTCGAGCCGTGGGTGTTGATGTGAGCAATTGCTTCGTGGATGTCTGCAACCGCCTTGACAGCAAGCGTGAGGCTAAGGAACTCGGTATCGTAATCAGCATCTTGGGCATCTTCGAGCTTCGCTGAGAGGTCCGAAGAGAGCTTGCTAGCAAGCGCCGCTTTCGTCTTGGCATCGCAGCGAAGTACAACCCCCTTCGCGATCAGGGCTTCGGCTGCGGAAGTGAGGACTGTTTCAAGAGCAGATTCTTGGACCAATAACGTCTCTAGACTGTTACATGCAGCCGGATAGCTTGTCTTAGAGTCGACAATTACATTGGCTGCCATCTTTGGATCGGCCGATTGCTCGAGGAATATGGAACATAAGCCGTCGGCATGGCCAAGAACCGGGATCTTGGTAGCCGACTTGATATATCGGACGAGCTCATTTGATCCTCGAGGAATAACCAAGTCAATGTATTGATCGAGGCCCAGCAACTGCGGTATCACATCTCTCGTGGTGACAAGCTGAATGGCGCCATTAGGGACCTTGGTCTTGTCCAAAGCCGATGAGATGACTTTGGAAATGGCGATGAAAGACTCGGTTGATTCCTTGCCACCCTTCAAAATAGCGGCATTGCCTGATTTCACTGCAAGGGAGGCGATATTGGCAATGACCTCGGGCCGTGCCTCGAATATGATGAGCAGAACACCGATAGGACATGTGACTCTTGTCAACTCCAGCCCGTCATCGAGTGTAGTCCTTAACGTAATCTTGCCGACTTTTAATGCAGTTAGTTTTGCGTGCATTATTCGGTTGCAGAACTGACTCACCGGGGTCCTCCAGATCCCGAACATCGAGTATGCCCTTCAGCATATCCTCCCATTTTCCTTTCTTCCCGAGATCCAACCTAGAAACTAGACTCTGACTTAATTGGCCATGTTCTGCTGCTAAACGTGCAACTTCGAGATCACGGGCGTTGGCTGCGAGGATATCATCCTTTGCGGTACTCAGACCAGCGTGAATGGCTGTCAAAGCATCGTTTCTAGCAGACTCAGACAGGGTGGCAAGAACATGTGAAGCTTCTTTCGCTGACTTGGCAGCTTCGGAAGGGGATGCGTTTGTCAGCGACATTGCTGGATTCTGAAGATATATCGGATGGTGATATGAGTGGCTAATACTTCTATGCGGTAGAAATTCGGTTGGGTTTAAGGTTAGGTAACTTCCAGGGCTTTGGGTCACTTCCGAAGCACCACTCCAGAGGCTGTCAGCAAGCCACAGCGGGTCTTGGCGGGTCTGAGCCTCTAAAGTCTTTTGTAGACGGGCAAGACTTGCATTTCTATCTCTGACTCTTACATGTATGTACTACCTAAGTACTAGACTACACCGCATATGATCTCATCTTTCGAACAGATAGGATAGTCAATACTACCGTGAATACATGACATCAAGCGGTGTATATTTCAAAGTCACATTCCTTTGCCTTAGAGTACTTACCGGCTTTGACAGCCAGCTCTAGTCTCGTGGAATCCTCAGCTAGTGTTCAGCTAGTTTCTAGGCCTGAGTACCTCCTAGCTTTAGTCAATATTATCAAGGCTTGCTCATCTCAGCTTATACCTACCAGTCTAGGAGTTACACGGAAGCTTGTCACGGCTACCGAGTATGACAAAGATTGTCCTCATGCCGATATAATTCGCGGGCATGGAGCTCTGGTGGTATTGTCTGGTGCCTGCATCGGTCCCGAACCCGAACACCTCCATATTGCAACCTTCCAGAAGTAACGCAATGAGGGATCGCTTCGACTGCCGGCTAAGGTCAGGCGCATCGGAACCCGCTAGCCGAATGGAATCACTGACCCGCGTTCACGATCTCGGTTTCCTCGGCATTTCCAACGCAACGTAGATGCGAATCCCGCTTCTGCAGCTTTATTCTCCACTCGAGTTCAAAGCGGTGAATTGTCCAATCGTCTGATTGTATAGCAAGAGGTAGGTCCACCACGGCTATCCGAGCGGTGCTAACCTTGTCCCGTTATTCTTCCTCTCTACCTTTCCTTGCTATGATGCCTTTTTCGCTATTCCCCATCCTCCAACTTCCTTGACCAAGAATTTATCTCCACCGTCTTGGTAGTCTTTCACCTCCGTACAAGTATCCACTACGGGACGGCACAACGTCCCCTTCTACAACTTCCTTTCTACTCCACCGATATCGGTTATTGTATTATCGGTCAAACGCGGGCTTACCCATTGGTATCAACTGCTCTGTACCGGTGAAACATAAATTATTTGAGCATGGCCATTGAGTCAGAAAAGTTCGACGAAAAATCAGGAGACGTTGAGTCAGGTGGAGCACGTCTGGATGATGAGGATGCCACTGTGTCCATCACCAGCACAAACCATGATGTGGAAGAGATATCCATAGACGCTGTTCCTGAGCAGCTTCTCACTCCAAATGGCATCCCGGTCGATGAAGAAGCCGCGGCCGCTGCGCCAAAGGAACGATCTAGGTCGCAAGCATCATCTGCTCGCTCCAGGACTCTGTCTGTGGTGCCAAGACTTAAACGACGTGGTTTCCTCGCGCAGTTGACGTTTGTCCCAGAGGTTGAACGGCCGTACGACTATCCAAATAAAGTCAAGTGGACGATAACAGCGTTCATAGCGTTGGCGGCGTGTGCGGCGCCCATGGGCTCTGCCATCTTTTACCGTAAGCCAATACTTACCTCCTGTTACACAACCCCTTTTAGCCAAGGGACACCAGAAGACTCACGTGGGTTGTATTAGCTGCCCTTCCGGACATGTCGAAGGACCTTGGTGCGTCACCGACGGTAGTAAACTTGACGGTAGCGCTGTACATGTTAGCTATGTCAATTTTCCCACTTTGGTGGTCATCGTTCTCCGAGACTCTTGGTCGTCGTAACATCTATCTTTCGTCGTTCTTCTTGAACGTCATTTTCTCCCTATTGAGCGGTCTTAGTGTCAATATCGGCATGTTGATCGTATTCCGTGTCCTGTCTGGTGGAGCAGCCGCGTCAGTGCAGGCTGTCGGCGCTGGCACTATAGCTGACATATGGGAACCTCGGGAACGTGGCCGCGCCATGGGCTATTTCTACTTGGGACCGTTGATGGGACCCCTTTTAGCTCCTATCATTGGTGGAGCCCTCACGGAAGGTTTCGGCTGGAGGAGTACCGTCTGGTTTCTCACCGCTTACGGCGCCGTCGTTCTCGTCCTTGTTCTATTCTGCGTGCCAGAGACTCTAGCAAAACGTAGGTCCGCAGCCGTGGTCGAATCATCCGAAGGCTTGTCGCGTGTCTCCACCACACGCTCCGTACACGTATACACCAAGCACACGGCGGCGTGGTTAAAACGATGCTTCCTTGACCCGCTCGAGGTTATCACATATCTGCGTTTCCCCGCTGTGGCCATTACCGTCTACTATGCCGCAATCACTTTCGGGTCGCTATATGTACTCAATATCGCGCTCCAATCTGCATTCTCGCAAGCGCCATATAGTTACTCGGCGATCGTTATAGGACTTCTATATCTACCGAGCTCGCTAGGCTACTTCGCCGCGTCGATGATAGGCGGGCGATGGATCGATCGGATCATGGTGCGAGCGGCCGAGAAAGCTCAGCGTTACGACGCCAACGGGAAGCTCATCTACCTCCCGGAAGACCGCATGCGCGAAAACGCGTGGATCTCGGCCACTCTTTACCCCGGCGCGTTGATCTGGTCCGGCTGGACTATATACTATGGCGTCCATATCGCGGCGCCGTCTGTCGCCAACTTCTTCTTCGGGTTCGGCAGCATGCTCGTGTTTAGCGCTGCTACAACTATGCTCACAGAATTCATGCCGCGGAGGAGCAGCAGCGGCGTTGCTCTCAACAACTTTGTGAGAAATATCTTCAGCTGTACGGGTGGTATAGTAGGGCAGCCTCTCATCGATGCCATGGGCATTGGATGGTTGATGACCATGGTGGGCTTGATTGCTTGGCTGAGCGGGAACATATGTATCTGGCTCCTGAGGAAGAACAGCCGAAAGTGGAGGGAGCAGATGGATAAGGCTTTGAGTCAATGAAGCCGGCCATCTTAGATATTTAATTCGCACGGGACGGGCGAGATAGGAGGCCCTATATATTCACGACGTCACGAGACCCTGCCGCTTGGACTGAGTTTCTCGCATAGATACCCTCAAGTCTGGAGTAGAGCATCATTTGGTAGCATAGCGATTTTTAGCTTCTTTAGGTAGTATACAGGCCTTGCGAGATTTAGTAGGTATATACAATCTACATCAGACTATCTTCGAGACATTAATGTAACTACGCGTATACCCACCACACTTCCCTTCTCTAGGATGTGCTAGTTATCTTCGCATTTTCAGTTCAGATACTTCACTCAGCAGCACTGCTCTCCTCAGCGAACAACTTGCCCAAAGCATCTAAACTCACGTTACCCCCGCTGAACACGATACCCAAGTCCCAACCCTCATCGCCAGCCTCGCGCTCGACCATGGCACGGAAGTCCTCATTATACAAGGCCACGGCAAGAGGCACGGCGGAGCTAGGCTCGATGACGAGCTTGAGGCGCTCGTACGCCAGTTTAAGAGCGCGCTTGATTTCTTCCTCGGTGACGCTGTAGAAGCCGGCGACGAGCCGCCGCTCATAGATGATGGACCACGGCACCTTGCCGACAGGCGTGCGCAGGCCATCAGCAATGGTTAGCGTTGACACGGCCTCGACGCGCTGCCCCGACTCATAGCCGCGCTTGGCGTCGTCGGCGCCCTGGTACGAGGGCTCGGTGCCGAAGACGCGGATACCCGTGCCTTCGCAGGAGAGGGCGACGCCGGAAAGCACTATGAAAGTTGGTAGAGTGGGTTAGTAATTAATTGCTTTTGTTATTCAAAATAAAAATAAACCCTTCTTTTTAAAGATAAATAACTGAGGAAAAAGAATAATGATATAAAGTCCGCAAAAATTGAAAAAGTGGTAAAAGAAAACTCCCCCGGGAAGGCTCGAACTTCCAACCTCCTGATTTGCTAGTTTAGAGTTAACAGTCAGACGCGCTATCCGATTGCGCCACGGAGGATTGGTCGTTTGTGTCACTAAACTTATTTATACGCCCAATTCGGGGAAATAGATGGGTTGGCGACGAGTGCAAAAGGGTCCATGCGGATCGTTTGCTAACTCGAACGCCTCCCGAGTTAAGTTTGATCGACGTGAAAGGTGAAAGGAGATATTAAAAACACTCCGATATAACTGCGCTGGGAAGGAGAAGAAAAAATTAGACTCACTTCCGCCGCCGCCGCAAGGGGCGAGAATAGCATCAAGCCCCCTCCTTGTCTTCACTTCCTCTTTCTCCCCATCCTTTGTTTTACTCTTCGCATCCTCCTCAGCCATCAGCTCAGCAACCTGCTCCTGGAACTCGAGACCGAGGGTGCCCTGGCCGAGGACGATGTCGGGGTGGTCATAGGGCGGGACGAGGCGGGCGCCGGTCTCCTCGACGACTTTGGCGGTGACGGCCTCGCGCTCGACGCTGGTGCTGCCGCTGAAGACGACGTGGGCGCCATAGCCCTTGGTGGCGGCGATCTTGGGCGGCGCCGAGATGGTCGGCATTACGATGTACGCCGGGATGCCGTTGGTGCGGGCCGCGAGCGAGAGCGCCTGCGCGTGGTTGCCTTGGTTCTGTTAGTGTTCTTGTTCTGTACTCTTCATATGGAAAGAGCGGCGACTGAAAATGATGAAGAGAATACACTAGGAGTTCTCGATAGCGATCAATGAGAACGTTTAAGGACGGCTGAGAAAGCGGATATGAAAGCTCAAGCTCAACGGCCGGTGCAGCTGTAGAGTCTGCCGTCGCAAACTCAAGCCGACCTCGTCTACCTACTCTAGTTCATAACTCGCTCCTCGCCTCACCTATCGCTATCCATATCATCAAGCAAGCCTAAATAGACTGTAACCAGCCGAGCTGTCTCCATCCTACCTAAACATCCTCACGGCTCCCCAACATACTCACAGTCAACAAGCCACATCCCCCTTAAAGATACCCTTCAACTTCATACCCCCTATCAAAGCTTCCACGCTACAAACAAACAGGGAAACCCACCCATCAGACAGCAGACCCCAAAAGCAGAACCAAAAACTCCCTAGTACCTATCACAAGCCCAATCCCCTCCCACGAAAGAGATAAATAAAACAGAAAAGAGGAAGAAAAGAAAAGGACAAACCAGAGCTATGCGTAACAACGCCCCTCTCCGCGCCCCCACCCGCCAGCCAGCCAGGCTCGCGCTTCAGCCTCTCGATGGCGTGGAAGGCGCCGCGGGCCTTGAAAGCGCCGACCTTCTGGAGGTTCTCGCACTTGAACCAGAGCCTGAGCTTCGGTTTCGCCTTCCCCTCTCCCATTCCCTTTGCCTTTCCTGTTCCCGTTCCCTGTTCTGCATCCTCACCCGGAGCAGAAGAAGAAGAAAAAGGCAGGGAGGCCAGCGCCGACAGCGAAGAGCTCGAGACCACGGGGGTCCGGTGCACGAACGGGGCGATGAGCTCGCGCGCCGCCGCCACCGAGGAGCGCGTCAGCGGCGGCGAGGTCGACGGGTCTGCCATTTCCCTGTTTCTGTCCCTCTTCTTTTCGTCTCCGCCTGGCTAGCTGACTAGCTCTAGGAACCGAACGGTGGCCCGGCGAAGCGAGCCGAGCAAAGGTGAAAAAGAAAGGAAATGGCTAAGTAAGCAAGTAAGTAAGTAGTAAATGAAGTCTGATGTTCGTTACGCAAGCAGGGATGCGACTATATCATTGGTCGTTGGCCTTGAACCCAAATCCTTCCATTACGCTGAGACAATATGACAAGGAAGAACTTGGGTAGGGAGTTAAGCTGAGTCTACGGTAGGCTAGATGCACGACTCGAACCAGTCAAAATTCTACGATTGGTTATCATAGTCCGATAACGGAGAGAAAAAGATCAGTCACTTTAGTATGTGACCGTAGGACTTATTGGACGATTCATTTCGAAAAGCCTTCGTTGAAAAAACTCAACTAGAGTAACTTTTGGACCACATCCCGAAGATCCTCGTGAGAGATGACATTGGGGAATCCTGAATACAAGTATAAGAACTACTCCTTTTGCCCCGGGACTATTGCCTCGCCATTTGGTTTACCGTTCCGATACTTTTTTTTATTTATAACGCCAAGTGCAACTTATTTTTGGTTCTCGGGTCGGAGAGATCTGTAAATCAAGATTAGCCATTAATAAAAAAACCACGATTAAATCCGATGAGAAGTAATTCTTACCTCACAGCCTTGCCGGCCCTCCAGATCTCCATGTTGCGGATCTCCTCCATCTCCGCCTCAAACTTCTGTCGGTAGTCCTTCTGGCTGTTGTACTCAAGCGATCGCTTGGTCTCGGTACCATCTCTGACGGAGTCATACAGACTGTTGAACACGGGCTTCAAGGCGTCCTTGAACTTGGGGGTCCAGTCGATGGCACCTCGTCGAGCGGTAGTAGAGCAGGCCTCGTACATCCAGTCCATACCGTTAGCACCGATCAGGGGGTATAAGCTCTGAGTGGCTTCCTCGACGGTCTCGTTGAAAGCCTCGCTGGGGCTGTGGCCACGTTCTCGGAGAACCTCGTATTGGGCCAGGAACATACCGTGGATACCACCCATCAGGCAACCACGCTCACCGTACAAGTCAGAGTAGACCTCCTTCTCGAAGGTGGTCTTGTAGAGGTAACCACTGCCAACGGCAACACCGAGGGCCTGAGCCTTCTCCTCGGCCTTGCCGGTGACGTCCTGGTAGACGGCATAGGAGGAGTTGATACCACGGCCCTCGCGGAATAGCGATCGGACGGTTCGGCCAGAGCCTTTGGGGGCGACGAGAATGACATCAATGTCCTTGGGGACATCGACATTGGTGACGTCCTTGAAGACAGGGGAGAAGCCGTGAGAGAAGTACAGAGTCTGTCAAGTGTCAACTTTTTGCCCCTGGTAGAATGAGTCATACTAGCGCACCTTGCCCTTGGTTAGCTGAGGCTTGATGGCGGGCCACGTCTCGCTCTGGGCGGCATCACTGAGCAAGTTCATGACGATAGTGCCCTTGGAGATGGCCTCGTCGACCTCGAAGAGGTTCTTGCCGGGGACCCAGCCATCTTGTTGAGCATCCTTCCACGATTGGCCGTTCTTTCGGACACCGATGATGACGTTGAGGCCGTTGTCACGGAGGTTAAGACCCTGGCCGTGGCCTTGGGAACCGTAACCGATGAGGGCGAGGGTGTCGTTCTTAAAGTAGTCCTGTAGGGATGTTAGGAGCCGTCGCTGTAGGATATATAATTTGAAGTTTGAGGACTCACCAGGATCTTCTCCTTGGGCCAATCGGCACGCTCTACACACGACTGTCAGCTGATATGATATATGAAACCGACAAAGAACGGACAATTGTACATACCGTAAACCTCTTCAGGCGTCCCGGCGAAGTCAATGGTCTTGACACCACGGACCTGCTGCTGCACAGCGCTGGCCAGAGCAGGGCGGGCGGTGGCAGTAGCTCTGACGAGGTTAGACGCAACGATGAACGAGCGTCTCTGGATGGCGGGCGAAGCCACGCGACGGGCCAATTGGCTGCGAACGGCCTTTGAGAACCCTCTCGAAGCCATCGTGACGAGAAATTTGAGTGGAGATTGGAGGGGGGGAGGTGTAGGAGAAAGTCAATGGGTTATTATTGTAGCTAAAGAAAGTTTTTTCCCTTTCTATCTTTTAATTTTTTTTCTCCAGGGTCTCGGGAGCTGTACAACCACATGTACACACAACCTAAAATCTTCGAAAAAGAGCTTGGTGCAGCGATTTCGGCCGTGAGTCGAATCAATCCACTGCCCGCAGCCAATGGTGGGGCAAATCGCCGGTCCGGCCAGGGACTGGGGTGCATACATCTGGGTATACCTAGGTACTTCTGCATCGTACAGGTACTACCAAAACGTTAAAATGTCCGTAGACGTATATAGCTCCACATGGCTCTCACAGTACAGGTACCATCCAATCCTACTACGCCATTAACAACCACCAGACATTTTCAACTGGCGGTGACGATATAACGTTGGAATAAATTATAAGTCGCCAGTGCATTCATTCATCACTTACCTATGCTAGGGACTTAAGAAGCACGTATTATAATGTAAATGTTTCTGGATTCACCAACCAATACCTATCTTCTGTCACCATGCCGTTACTTGTCACCAATGTCCATAGAACCCTACGTCGGGCCGTCTAGTTGATGGTTACCGCGGCATACCAAGTGTAGGGAGAAGACCAGTTGTCTCCGTAGTGCCTCCAAGGCAAACGCAATCCCTCGCAAACGCCTTGCTAGTATGTGTCGTCTGCAAAGGCAGTCTAAAGCTTTCTTCCTTCCATCTTCTTTCCACACATCTCCTCGGTCGCATCCCTTTCATGAGACCAATCCATTATGCCTAAGGTTCGTAACAGTGCTCGTTCATGTTGTTGGAAGGTTGTCGATTGAACAAAAAAGTTCAACTTCGACGTCCACCCTGAGTTGGCCACTAAGCTCTACCGTACGCTTACGCGGTCGTACGTGACCGAACGTATCGAGCCACCACTCATGGAGGCGCGCACGTTGCGCCGGAAGTTATCCCGACTCTGGCGCAGATCTTCCGCCGCTTCCTTGTTGAGCGGATCCGAGGCGTTTGGTTCGAGGAAGAGGAACTGAAGTCCGACGATGACGGCGTTGAGATTGAGCACCGGCTTCCAGTCCTCGCGCAGAATGTTCAGGCACACCTTTCCCTCGAGGTCGATGTTGGGGTGGTAGATCTTCTGCTGGCAGCGCACCTTGGGCGGCTCGTGGGGGTAGTTGGGGCCCATAGTGAAGGTGAAGGTGAACCGGCCGCCATTGTAGATACCCTCGTCCGGCGTGATCTCGAGAATGAAGTTGAGGATGTCGTCCGGGTCGGGGAAGATCGTCTTCATCGACATTCCGAGGGACAGCTCCGAGAGATCTGCGCCGACGCCAAACGAACCATCATTAGCACAATTAACCCTCGTATAGTAATTCTGATCTCATGATATATAAAATATAACTGCTTACCTTTTTGT